CACTGGCCAAAGTGGTCCCTGAGTAGCCCAACTTAGCTCTTCCACAGCACACTCACCAAAGTGGTCCCTGAGTAGCCCAACTTAGATCTTCCATAGCACACTGGCCAAAGTGGTCCCTGAGTAGCGCAATGTAGCTCTTCCACAGCACACTGGCCAAAGTGGTCCCTGAGTAGCGCAACTTAGCTCTTCCACAGCACACTGGCCAAAGTGGTCCCTGAGTAGCCAACAGTAGCTCTTCCACAGCACACTCACCAAAGTGGTCCCTGAGTAGCCCAAAGTAGCTCTTCCACAGCACACTGGCCAAAGTGGTCCCTAAGTAGCCCAGCTTAGCTCTTCCACAGCACACTGGCCAAAGTGGCCCCTGAGTAGCGCAACTTAGCTCTTCCACAGCACACTGGCCAAAGTGGCCCCTGAGTAGCGCAACTTAGCTCTTCCACAGCACACTGGCCAAAGTGGTCCCTGAGTAGCCCAAAGTAGCTCTTCCACAGCACACTCACCAAAGTGGTCCCTGTTCACCAAAGTAATCCCTGAGTAGTTCAACGTAGCTCTTCGACAGCACACTCACACAAGTAATCTCTGACTAGTTCAACTTAACTCTTCCACAGCACGCTCGCCAAAGTGATCCTTGTTCACCAAAGTAATCCCTGAGTAGTTCAACGTAGCACTTCCACAGCACATTCGCCAAAATGACCTCTAAGTATTGACACCACATTCACCAATCTGATCCCTGAGTAGCTAAACCTAGCTTTTCCACAGCAAATTCACAAACTGATTTCTAAGTAGCTCATCTTAGCTCTTCCACAGCAACCACAGTTCTTAGTAGCGCAACTTAGCTTCTCCACAGCACATTTACCAAAGTGATTCCAAGGTAGTTGTAGAGTTGCAATGTACTTATCAAGCCAACAAAAGCTGCGTTTTTCTCACCCGTAGGCCTGTCGGTTGTTAGGTTTTTAGAACTTCGGACTTCAGTACGCCCGGTCGCCCAACTTAGCTCTTCTATAGCACACTCACTAAGTGGACTCTGAGTAGCCCAACTTAGCTTTTCCACAGCACGCTCACCAAAGTGGTCCCTGAGTAGCTTAGCCCTTCCACAGCACACTCACCAAAGTAGTCCGCGAGTAGCCCAACTTAGATCTTCCACAGCACGTTGACCAAAGTAATCCTTGAGAAGCCCAAAGTAGCTTTTCCACAGCACGTTCACCAAAGGAATCCCTGACTAGCCCAACTTAGCTCTTCCACACCACACTCGCCAAAGTAATCCCTGAGTAGCCCAAAGCAGTTCTTCCATAGCACACTCACCAAAGTGATCCCTGAGTAGTTCAACGCAGCACTTCCACAGCATGTTCACCAAAGAGATCCCGGAGTAGCCCAAAGTAGCTCTTCCACAGCACGTTCCCCAGAGTGATCCCTGAATTTTCAAGCTAGCTTTTCCACAGCACGTTCACCAAGGTGATCTCTGAGTAGCCCAAAGTGGCTCTTTCACAGCACGCTCGCCAAACTGATCCCTGTTCACCAAAGTAATCCCTGAGTAATTCAACGTAGCATTTCCACAGCACATTCACCAAAATGACCTCTGAGTATTCACACCACATTCACCAAACTGATCCCTGAGTAGCTAAACCTAGCTGCCTAGCTCTTCCACAGCACATTCACAAATTGATTTCTAAGTAGTTCAACTTAGCTTGTCCACAGCAACCACAGTTTTTAGTAGCGCAACTTAGCTTCTCCACAGCACATTTACCAAAGAGATCGCAGGATAGTTGTAGACTTGTAATGTACTTATCAAAGCAGTTTTTTCCCCACCCGTAGGACTGTGGGGCTGTTAGATTTTAAGAACTTTGGACTTCAGTAGACTCGCTACTTCTGCACATCCACCAGAGTGGTCCCAGCGTAGCTCAGAGCAACCCAAAGAACACAGCACATCCACCAGAGTGGCCCCAAGTAGCCCAGCGTAGCCTTTACACCAGCACATTCACCAGAGTGCTCCCAAGTACCAGTTCCACAGCATATCCACCACAAGTTGACTTGGCAGGGATGCGGGGTTGCCAGGCATTAAAATATCGAAGTTCAGAAACCTCACAAGTAAGTATTCGATGTGTGGCTTTGTTTTCAATAAAGAATCCTTTTCGCGCCGAACCGCTTTTCTCTTGTGAAGACCAATTCTTTGAGGGTGGGGAATTTCGAAGTAAAGTAATTATTTTTTTCAGTCTGGAACGTCTTCTTTTCCAGGATGATGTACTAAGACTATCTTGATCCGGATGTTTCAGTTTCACGAAACAACATTCCTTTCAAGCTTATGTTGCAACACCTGTCAGCCTCCCATCACATTGATTTGCTTATATAGTGGGTGTGCTCAGTATCTGCAAATGTTTCCACTTAGTAACAAGAAGCTACTAGGGGCTCCTGGCATCGCCACTAGGAGCAAGGACGCTACTAGGGGCTCCTGGCCGTACTATATACTAGGAGCAAGAAGCTACTAGTAACCGTTTCCACTTGTTGGTTTCTCTTTTTCCAGGATCCTTTTGGACGACTTGCGTGTTGCTTTCTTCACCTTTGCTCAGCGTCCGGATGACGACCCCAAGGCAAAATTGGCGGGACATGGGGTCCATCAGTGACCATGATCGAGCTATTCCGCACACAGCACTAATAATGTGTTTTGGGACAGTCCTTTATTTTTGAGGATGGACGGATGGATTTTTTGAGCGACTTTTCAATCTACAACGCAGTCAGTTCTTGATGCAGGCCCGAAAAACATCCATGCCCAGATATTTAGATATTTTGTTCACAATCAACATCGCGTGTTCAATAAACTAGGCAAGTGCAAACTGGACATTTTTTCATGTCCGTATTTTCATACAGGTAATCATCCTGCCACATTTTCCCATAGATTTATCATACAGTACTGTATCAAAGAAACATCCATTGAATGTTCACTATGTTTTAGTTGCCGCCGAGTCAGATGCACAAACAAGCTGGTTCTTGAGGCTGTGCCGATCCTTCCAAAGAGAAGAGTCATTGATGCCCTCCTTTATGCGGCCTGGGCTTCATTGAGAGACCAACTAACCCGCTAACCTCGATATATATATATATTATATGTATGTATATGTATTATATATGTAAGATTTATAATCCCGCATTTGTTTTTCTTTCAGTTTGGGCGACAGTACCTTCTACATCAGTCGTCTCAAACTGCAAGCGAATGATCCTAGTACTATGGTTGAGTGGCACCATGTTTGTTGTTTCCGGAGGGAGCTTGAGACCTTGACTTCTGTTGTGGTTTTATTTGAAGACGTCAGGTGGGTATCTTCCATGTTCTGGCCGAAGATGTCAACTTGACGGACCTTTCCTTGGACGAATTCTTGGAGCTTGGCCATTTGGATCGGCAGCAGCCGAGCGGTTTGTCTCGTGGGTCGAAGATCCCATGTGTTCGGTGTGGAAGACGTGGCCAAAGGAGAGACGAATGCTAAGCATGCCTGAAAGAAAGCATGCCATGGTGGCAGTCCGGGTAGTGCGGCAAGGGGTTGGTGGTTTTCTTCAAAAAGCAGGCATGGCGGGCAGTAGTGTTAGGAGGAGATAGAGGTCAGATCATTCGAGATCTGGACATTGAGCAGGCAGCGTGCCCTCCAGGTCTTTTGGAATCACAATCCCAGAATGCCTCCCAAAGCACGAATCCTCTCCCTGAGATGGAAGAGACACTTCCCCAAACTTTTCCAGGAATTTAGGGATTGCATCTCTTCAGGCCAAATGTAGAGATTGAACAACCCGCCGCACTGAGCCGCAAATCACAAGCAGAAGGCGACTGTGCTCGGGCGGTGTTTGATTCAGGCGACTGGAGAAGTTGATTTGTTAGTGGATGTTTGCCCCGAGGTCGAGAGTCACATTTGGCAAGGCCGAGTCGCACCTCCCTGGACGTGGTGAGACCGTATCACTCTCTGGACGTGTGGGTGCAAAAAAAACACAGACTACAGTATATTTTCTGAGAGTGGTCTTCCATAGTTCCTATTCCATCAACGAACATTTTGATTCTTCTACAACTCTTGAATCAAAACCCTTTGGAAAGGCTTGAACTCTGCCACTTGCCAGCCAGGCTGAGAAAGCCGCAGCTGGAGCAAATTGAAGAACTCTGCAAGACCCATGAGCACGAAGTCAATGGACAAATCATGCTGCTGGTGTGGCTTGGTTAGAACCACCAGTTGTGAGACACAGCGCTTACAGAAAGCAGAGAACGCAGAGAAGAGCGGCCTTGATTGATTTGTATTTACATTCTTACCAAACATAACAGCAGTGCAAAGGCACAATCCGCAGAAGAAAAAACATAAGAATTGGCAGTTCTTAGAGTTGGCGAACACAAAGAACCTGAAATTCCTGCCGTTAAATGCAGAAAAAGGCATGAACAAGCGGTCTATCTATGATTTCTTTAGCTACCATAGTTTCTAGACATTCAAAGGTCTGTTCTAGATGTCAAGGACGGATGTCTCTCGAATGCTTGAGAAACTTCTGGGCATTGAGATGGACTTTGCTATCAACGATGCTGTGGCTTTGGCAAGGCGTTAGGATGTGGGCATGGGTGGGTGCCGATGGATCGCACTAGGTTGGAGGCCGATGGTTGCACATTGCGGCGCCAGGTGACGTGAAACTGAAGCACAAAGAATGCCCCCAAAGCACCGCGCCGAACCGACCAGAATAACGGGTCGGTCCCGGTCATCGGTGCGAGTATGGGTTCCTGTGGACTTCGTATTGCACTTCCCGATGACGGTCTTTGAGAAGTGACACATGTGGGGAGGATTTACTTCGAACCAAAACCCGCCCCTTCGGTGAACAGTGAAGTCGGTTACTGAGCTCAGGTGACCCATGCATGGGGGCAAGAGACGTGGCCAGACACCCATGTGACCCATGAGCAGTTTGCTGGCATCGTCTCCTGGTATGTGCATCTTGCCAAGGATATGCAAAGGTTCATTCCGTAGACAGCTATGTAGACTCAAGCTGGGTCAAGAAGTTCCTTTGTTCCAAACTTCTTCCTCTTGAGTAGCTAATACTAGCTATAATTCTTTCGTGGATGTGCACAAGCAACCGTCCGAGGGTTGGATCGCCTTCAACACTGTGAGTCATGGTTCTTTTTCCTTCTCCCTTCTCTCCCTTCTGCCTTCTCCCTTCTCCCTCTCCTCCTCCTGCTGCTCCTGCTCCTGCTCCTGCTCCTGCTCCTTCTCCTGCTCCTGCTCCTTGTCCTTCTCCTTCTCCTTCTCCTTCTCCTCCTCCTGCTTCTTCTTCTTCTTCCATAGCACTGCACTCTGACAAGTCCGCATGTCACGGCCGAGCAGGCAGCCTAATAACCTGCATCCCAACTGAAAAACAGCTCCAGCACTTTCACCATACCTGACTGCACAGCCCTAGAGCCTGATGGGTAGAGGCATGTGGTAGCGGATTATCTTCCTCAGCACGTCCACGAGATCTTGCAACCCACGCTCGTTCACCTTTCCCAGCTTTGCCCAGAAGGAGTGTGGAGTCGAGAGCCTTAGTACGAAGCGTAGCAAGCACGCAAGGTGAGGTCCACATCTCCAGCCGTCATTTTGCTTTTGGATACTTTTGGGATGCTCGCGAATGCCAGAGATTTGGCACACCAGGCCTTCCCAAAGAGAGCACTTGTTTGGACAATCCGGTGGTTTTCCTCGTTTGCGCACGAGGAAGCGCCGCGAACGAGACTGGAACGTCTTGGAAGGGATTTTTGACCTCCTGGGCTGCGAGAAGTTGACTGGAGACCTCACACCTCAACTCTTGCAGGCGCGTGGTTTGGGCCTCCAGATTGCGAGTGAAGAAAACCGGTGTCGGTCTCAATCAGCCTCCAGCCAAACCCAGTTCTTATCCTTCGTTTTGAACTTTGAACGAGGCACTGTTTGCCACGGACATTTTGTATAGTACAAGTATAGGCAAACCTCTTTTATGCCCCTTGAAGTCCCTTGAATATAATAGACGTGTCACAGCTGCGACGTGATTGCCTCCTATGTCATTGAAGGATTTTAAGCATATTCAAAGGCCCGATCTTCATCAGTGCTCAGTCAGCAACCACAGGAGTGCCGTACCCGACAGCATCTTGGCTGAAGCTGCTGATGTTTGCCTGCTAAAGTCTATTTGGTACTTTAAAGCAATCAAGACACCTTGAACAATAAGCCTCGTATTATTCAATGTGATAATGTTTGTCTCTATCCATCTTCCACCGCAATTTCTAGCACTTACCTGTATATCATCTATTTAGTACGTGCTTGGAACCTGTGCAAAGCAGGTTATGTTTCATGAATACGTTTCACTAGCCAAAATGCCTTGCCATTTTGTGTTGGCTTTTGGTCTTGATGTTTCATGAAACTTTCAGTTAAAACGCTTTTTTGATTTGTCTGAACACTTTGCTGTTGTGAAGTCTCATTTGATGACGTGAATTTCAGACATATTTCATATTTGACCATAAATGTAGAGTGTAGCCGGGTAGCCCCTCAGTCTCCACAGCCGCGTAACGCTTGAGGGTGGGCCCCCTACACATTTGGACTTCCACACAACTCAGCAGATTTCAACGTGACTCCTGAGAATCAAATCATAAGATTTCTGCAAAACATCTTCTCTTCAGGTCATTGATTGGTCTCTTTAGGTCGTTTTCTCTGTAGGTCGTGAGTTGGGCTAACTTGTTGCATTTTGTTGCTGCCCACTCAGTTCGGATGAGTGTCTGGAGGATGAGACCGCAGTGGAGGCTTGGTGGGTGGCTGCGGTGTCTTTTAGACGAAAAGAAATGGACTCTGATATAGGAACACTATCAAATTGATTTTAGGGTCTTTTCGAATACTTGCTGGGAGATGGGTTAATGTTCACATTTATGTTTGTTCGCCAGACATTGAGGCTCTTGTGATGTTAGTGCTTTTGTCGGCGTAGGAGATGCTGTGGGCTGCTGATTGGATTCGTCGTGGCGAAGGTGCGTCATCCTGTGAAGAAAGTGACACAACAGGGTGGCCACAAGTAGGAGCAAGGAAGCCGAGCAAAGGGCATTTCTACTAGGAGCAAGGACGCTACTAGGGGCTCCTGGCCATACTACTAGGAGCAAGAAGCTACTAAAGGTAGGTCGATGACCTACACCCTACAAGTAAAGCGCCTTGGGGAGTCCCAACTGATCGAGAACCCTTGCGCCTGGTCATTGAGTGTTGCGCAGTGCAGACTTAGGTGGAGGCAAAGCGCTTGATACGTGCAGTTTGTTCACCGTTTTCCTGACGAACCTGCAGCGTGGCAAAGGCGTGAGTCATCACGAGCTGCGAGCTGTTGAGGAATGTGGTTACCCAAGCTTGCATGTGAACTTACATAGGCTCAAACTCTTGTCTGCAGATTGAAGAGCAAGAACACGATGCCATTGAAAAGAGAGTATCAAGCAGAGGATGCACATCTAGAATGCACATCTTCGCTGCGCTTTGTTGTTCGTGGCACACCTTTTCTTTTTGAGAAACCGCATTAGACGTTTTAGAGCCTAATTCTTTGCACTGCACAGGTGTGCTGCCTCCAAAGTGCGTATTGTCCGAAGAAGGTGGGGATGTCCAGTGGTCTTATGTCAATTGATTTTTGGTCATGTTCGAGCCTTGTGAAAGAACCGCCTTGCAGTAATTGATAAACACATCCACTGGGATTGTGGATATTTCTGCATAGCGAAGGGTTCCCGCTGGGGTCTGGGGGCAGAGCTGTGTTCGCTTGACGTTGTCAAAAGCTTTCCCCAATGGAAGTGCATCTACTCAATGCAACTCTCACTGCCGGATTCAGAAAGTCATGCCTGTCACGCCTGCGGAATCAACTCCCAATCACAGCGAAAAGAAACCGCGTCGCCAAGTGTTAACTACTGCTTCATTTTCGCGAAGTGTTTTGTGCAGTTCTCACGGCATGCAATCAGCCATGATGGGCGGGCAACAGTGATCTTCAACATGATCTTGTTGAGCACTTCCTTCTGGAAGACTGACCACAGCGGCACTTTGCGCTTCAGGTGCAAGCTTCAGAAAGAACTCCTTTGGCATGGGTTTGATCATCTCCCTTCAGCGTTTGCAACAATAATCACCACCAAAAAGGTCATGCACCCTTCGGATATTCCGGCGATCATGCAAACGGCATCGTGCATGGTCACACACGGTGAATGACACGTCAGGTTCGTGTGAAGGACACGGCGATTTCGCGTTACGTCACTGACGCGTTACGTCACTGCGCAGGCGCAGTTTTCATGACGAGGTTGGCAGTTGGCAGTTGCCGTGCCATCAAGATTTGCGTTTCCAGGGGCTCTTTGGAGGTGAATGTGGCTGTGCCATTGGGATTTGCTGTTGCAGGCTTTGCTTCGAAGCTGTGTTTTCGTGACACGCCTCAGCTAGAGCCACAATTTTGAGTGATGTGATGTGGGTGAAGCAAAAAGGTGTCGCACATTTGTTGGAGTTAGAGAGACGATGATGTGGCGTAGTGTAGTTACTTTTCCTGGCAGGCGCAGTATTGGGTGCATATTGGAGTTGTTGTTATTGTAGTCAATTTTTGTTGGATTGCGAAAGTGGCTTTGGAGGAAGTTTATGCTCGCTGTGGAGACTTCACGCAGGAAGGTGTCAAGCAGTGTCGCGCAAGAGTGTCCTAGCAGTGCGCGTTACTGTAAAAGAGCGTCTCTCCAAGAGCGTGGTTTGCCAGCAAGAGTGTCCCACAAGCTGGAACTTCAAAGTGTCTCGTGTTCGGGTTTGTGGGCACTCCTGCCAAAGACATGCAAAATACTGAGCAGGATGCTGAGCAGTTGCTGACTGAGTTTTTAAAGACGGATGACAAAACCATATAAGACCTGGATTGCGCCAGTGCAGTCACATGTGTTTGCCTGTTGAAGGAAGTTTTGCAGCAACTCCAGCCCAACGCCTGTAACTGCCCCTGCAACCCACGCAAAAACACAGCTCAGCTGATGAAATACTATCCAGAGGCCTTTAAGATTTCTTCAACATTCTTTTGCTTTAAAGAACATTTATACACTCAAAAGTTCACGGGCGACGATTTAGACTCGATGATGGTACCAGGCGTGCGCCCGAACAGAGCTTGGAAGCGGCACGAGTACCGCGGCCAGAAGTCTAGGGATGCTCGGCTGGTTGACACGAGTCGGATTCTTTTTCTTTGGAATTTACTGGGAGAATCCCTGTGGGACAGTGCATTGAGGCGGCCTCATTCTACATCAGGGAAAGCTTCTCGCGACGTTTGCTGGTCGAAGATGATGCTCCGAAGGCTTTGATTTTGGAGTTTTGCATTGGACTGGAAAAGGGCCTTGGCACTGTGAGCTCCTGTCTACATTTGTCAGGCGTGTCCAGTATACAGCATAGAACTGACATGCTGACATGACTCAGATATGGCTGAACTGGAGCAGTTGAATCCGCAGGCTACAGGCACCGAGGGCCGGTTCTGTTGTTTCTGCCTGTGAGGCTGCCATCTCACAATCCACTTTTGGTGGAGGAGCTCCTAAGTGGGCTGAGTGTGTGGTGGATCACTTCGAAAGGCCAAGAGTGGGCAAGAATTTGCTGGTACTGGTAACCCTGAATTACACGGAGACAGAACATATAGAATGTTACTGACATCCTAAGTTTCAAAACACCCTAAACGAATCTACACAAGTGTTAGACCAAGAGATGGTGAAGTCAATTGGCAATTGCATTTTCACACGAGTTTTTCCGCTTCAGATTCTAGGACATCGTTTGGGGCCGCAAAAAAGGTTTCAAAGTCTGCCAGACAATTTAGGAACAAGAAGCTATTGTTGCTCCTGGCATCGCTACTAGGAGCAAGGACACTACTAGGGGCTCCTGGCATTACTACCAGGAGCAAGAAGCTATTAGGAACAATAAGCTATTACACCAGTTGCCATGAGCTCGATTTGTTTGTGGAGGCCAGAGACATCGCCATCCGCTCGCTGTGTTGTTTACAGCATGTTGTGTGGCTTGGCGACAATGTCAAGAATTCTTCGGGAGATTGAAACAGAGGAGGCACCCACTTGTTTTATCTGCTTCAAGTTGGTCCTGCTCTAAATCACTCGCAATTGAGGGCATTCCTTTGAGCAAGTTCCCAGGTTTTCGCTTTGTTAATCTCTGTTGGATTTTTCTGTTTTGGGAGGGTTTTGTCACTCTAAAGTGGAATTGCGCGAGAAGGACCCTGCAACAAGGTGCGCCTGATTCATTTGTTGTAGATGCGCCGCCAGGTGTTGTGGTCTTATCAGTGCTGGCAGTGGTCCTTGAGCCAATGATTTCAGGTGGCAACAAAGAGGCGCCCCGTCTTCAAGTTATTTTTGGCCAGGAGGCAACAGTCTCTTCTGCCACTGCATAGATGTGTCGCTCCATTGTTTCATCCATCAGGAATACTCGCCTGAAGAGTATGCATTTTGGCTCAGTACGGGCCTTAGATTATGTGCCAGTGCCGATTGATCTTCACAGCCAAGCAACCACAAACAGACCTATTGGGTGGTTCTCACAAGATGGGACCTATTGGGCCATTTGGCCTATACCCTTGCTGAACCATCTTACCGATGGTGAAGGTGATGGGACAAATCCTGGGGTGGGAGCTGGGCCGGAGTGAAGACCAAAGTAGTGATTCGAGAGAGTTGGATTGCCGAATTCGTTTCGTTTCAGGGCCCGACTTCGCGGACGATCCGAACGGCCAACGGGGCCGGTCTCAATCAGATGCTTCTCAGGTCTGGACATTTTCTTTGCAGTGGTCTTCACTCTGGAACTGCTTCTGCGACTGATTGCCAACATGGCTGCGCAACCCAAGGCAAAATGTTCCTTGGTCATCAGCCGAAAGTTCCTGGGGCGGTCCTGTTGGGGCGGTCCTGTTTTCTGTCCGTTGGGAAAGGGTTTAGGGTGGCAGGTTGCAGAACTGGTGTCCCTTGCAACCTTGTATACTGTATGTATATAGTTATATATATATATAAGTAATTATATAGATGTGGCTGAAGAATTTATCATTCTACTGTAACTGTAATGATTCTAGTGTGCTTCATGCTATTTCAACTCAGCATTTGCTGGTGAAGTATAGGCCACTTGAAGAAACCGCAGGCCGGTGACAGGTAACCCCCTTTGGTTCAGCCCCATCTTTTGCATTGCCTGCAGCGGTCTGAAGATGATAAGCCAATGTTTTGTGCCGTGTTTTGGATTCCTCCTCAGGCTGGGCCTTCTTTGCATTCTTTTCGGATCCGGCCGCTGGGCAGGCAGAGGTGGTTCAAGGGACTCTAGTCGGAGCCTTGAGGTTTAGGACCCAAACTGGTGGATGCCTTTGATGGGATGCACAGCTAAAGCCTGACATTGTCATGCTTTGGGGTCAGACGCCGTGGTCTGTTTGCGTGCAGCCTGACGTCTCTGATGCCGCCGGAGAATTGGCACGGGGGATGCGATTCGATCGGACCCCCTTTTGGGCGGGATTTTTTGCAAGAAATTGAAAGCACAAGAGAGTTCCAAAGGAAGGCCGAGCAAAGAGATTGTAAAGTGCGAGGCAAGAAAGGCAAGAAAGAATGCGTATTCCAGAGATCACACAATGATCTTGAGAACGAAATGGGCTTTTGTAAAAACCATCATACTCCAGCAGAGGTACTTGTATGTCACGAAAGCCAGTGCTAGCCAGCTGAGTATATTTTGTTCTTTCAGAAAGGGAGGGGAGACCTGAGGCCATCACAGTGCAAGGGACATTCTCAATACAAGATACCGGTCTAGCCGCTAAGGATCGTCGCCGTGAGGCATCGTTGCCTCGTTGAATCAAGATTATACAGTGATGCACTTCGGCTCAACCGATTGCCCTTAGCTTTCGGATTGACTCCCTGGGGGGCCTCAAGTTGGTTCTTTCATGCTTTTCCAACAAACTGCAGAAGCTCGACATCTCAGATGAACGTCCTGGACTTCATTGCGGTCACCGAAATCTACCTGGACCACGTCTTCCAACTCCCTGCAGCTTGGAGTGAATGTGTCCGGTCCTTTGTGTGTTTCACACTGGAACAAAGGGCACAACGAAGGTGCATCAGGGCGCTAACAGGAAGTTATAGTCAATGGTTTTTGAGGAGGTTCTTGAGAATTAAGTCTACTAGCCAAGCCATGTCGCAGATTGTGCAACAGCTCTTGAAACAAACCGTTCGACCGGAAACGACAGGAAATACCACACGTTAGCAATTCAGAAAGGCTCGACTGAGGCTAGAGTTTGACTTCCACGCCCTTGGGCTCAACGCCGGAAACAAAACGCTGTTTCGACTCGTGGCGCCCGAAGATCGACTCGTTCTCCTCTCCGCCGGAGAAGACGCCGTCACGCCGTTACTCGTTGGTCGGAACGGTGCTGAGTTCTGCAGGTGCTGCGCACGCTGCTCCTGGAACGCTTCGCCCGGCTGGGCCGAGTTCTGAAGCTTTGCAAGTTGCGGACATGCCCCTGGGCTGCCAGGAGTTCGGATCACGTGCACCTGCAAGACCTGTAAAGACCTGCAAAGACTACATGAAGATTACATGAAGGTGGGTTCACCGGTATTTTGCAGGGAAGCTGAGGGAGTCAGTTGGGACCGCAGTGATAAAGTTGATAGTCTGGTGATGGTCTGGTGACTGGTGACTTGACCAGACCTCACAAGGGGGAAGGCATTGGGCATTCAGTGGTAGGCCCTGGTAGGCCTATTTCTTGTCGCACTTTTACTTCCATAGTCTGAGGAGGTTGGAATTTCAGCTTCAAACCCTGGGGTGGGTCAGATTTGGGAGCAAAGACCACAGATGCACCGGGATGCATCGATGTTGGTGTAACTTTGTATGTATATGTATATGTATATGTATGTATAAATAGATACATGATGATACACACCCTTAGATACAGGTTGTGGGCCTTGCTGGACGTTGGCTCAGCTGTGCATGTTCGTTGATGCACACCGAAGAAATAGACGGAGTAGACGAGGTGGAGGTAGGGTTTATGTCGATTACAATTACAACAAGTGGAGCCACCATAGCATAGTGTTTTATGCTTGCGTTTTCCATCTACTGTACTGCAGCTGGGTTGAAATGGTCGAGGGTGTAGGAGGAAGCCAAGTGCAAAAAGTACGCAAGCTTGCATGGCATAGAGGTGCATGGATGACACGTAGAGAAGGGAACCAAGGGAAGTGTAGAGTGACGCGTTTATTCCGCCTCTTCTGCTTTCGTCCTAGATGCCCTACTTGGAAAAAGATCAGACAAATAGCTGCCTCGGGCTTTCTTATTCCCAATGACACTTCCATTCGCTTATAATTTAGCATTGGCGGGGTGTGGCATGCTCGAAAAAAATCTTTTCCTGGGGCTTCTTGATTCTTGACTGCCAAACATACTTTAGAAGGTACTTCCTTCGGGCCAAGAACTCCTAAGTGGAAGGAGTCTTTGATCCAAAAGAGAGCGCTAAGAATGGAAGACTGTGGCTGCTGCCCACCACCAAGAAATATGCATATGGTAGCTTCCAATCATTTAGAGCTGCTGTGATTTACAGCAAATATCGTATCAAATATCTAGTCTGCTCCATTCTACTCTGTGCCTTTGCTGAGATGGGTGCCCTTTCGTGGCGCCTTTGACAGCCACCTTGGTCGTGATCATGGGCACCTTCGACGAACACGCAGAGCAGGGGCCGAGATCTGAAGATGATTTTTACCGTTGGAGTGATTAATCTGGCATGTTCGTTCATCAACTCCAAGTTTGTTTTACAAGGGTGGTTTGTACATGTTGCAACTTTGAGCTTTTGTTTCGCTCACTTGCAACAACATGTTGTGCTTGACTTGAGGATGTTGCAACAGATGTGGGATCCATGGATTCATGAGAAAGTCTGACAGATTAACGGTCCCACGGACAAGTCCTCTCAAAATGACCTCTAGACTCTCGACCAGCGAAAAGCTCTTGGCTCACTGCACTATGAGAGTCTATCAAGTCATTAGACAAAGCCAAGAATGTGCCTCAAAAGCATCGCCTTTCCAGCAGGAGATCAATCGCTGTCATTGAGGATTAAAGAGCCACTGCCGGTTTGCTTCATTCACAACCAAGCGTCATGTTGTTGGGGGACTTGAAGAACTAAGGCACCTACATGCTGGAGGGAGCCAATCTGAATCTTTTCGGGCGCTGATAACATGCAGTGAAATTAGCTTCCAATTTTTTGTGCCTATGGGTGAGCAATCCACTAGTTTGGGTGCTTGCTTGCACTCGAAGACCATGACGCTGGAGTTTTGCCGTCTCCACATCGAATTTGTTTTGAACGTCGTGTGTAGTTCGTATGGCCTTGGGAGCAGGTCTTTCTTGAGACGTCACAGGTTGCTCCCAACACCACTTTGAATGTGTACCACATTCCTTTTGCTGCACGCACAGCTGATGGTCAAAGACATTTACCTTGATAGCTTTTGTCATGTCCACCTTCACTTGTCTTTATTTGTGGGCAATTCCTATCAACGCGACTAAGCGAAGCACACGCATTCCCGTTCTGCCATTGAGCACACTTCTTTTCCTGGCTTAAACATGTTTTCCTACGAAGCTCTTCTGGCAAAATTTCCGGAGCAGATACATCCACATGCCACTGTCACTGTCTGAATTCGACAAGGTCAGTGAGCTCATTGATACCTCAGCGTCACAGAAATAGCTTGGCCAAGAACTGCTCAGCTTATGGTCTTCAAAGCCTTTCAAGTTTCATGACCCGAACACAGCTGGATGTCTCGAAGAGACTCAAAGTGGTCGCTGAGTTCCAGGGTCTTTTTTTTCGGTCACTTGAAGCTGCCCAGCCTTTTCAGAGCACTGAACAGATTATGGATGAAGATGCCAGTCAAACTAGAATGTTGGGGCGTGATCAATGAAAGAGAAAACATTGTAAAGGGTCAAGCGATTGATAGGATCAGTTGAAAGGGCATGACTTCTCGAATGACTCGTAGCTTGCACAATTCGATGTGGTGGATTGCGGTTTTCAGCTCAAAAGCTTTTCTGGCAATTCCACCTTTTGTGTACTGGCAAATCTCTCTGGAGAAATAGGTCAAGTACAGGCCAATATGGCAGGCACGCTTCGCGTGCCCAGACCCGCTAGACCAATATTTGCTGGAAAATATATCCTGAAATCCAAATACCTTTTGGATTGATTTCCTTAATAATTGATTCTATTAATTTTCTATTCTCAAGCAAAATCCCGCTTTTGATTTATATTATATTGGACTTATGCAGATATCGATTTTCTGTTCGTCGACGAATATCTAAAATAAATTTCGCAAAAATAAATTCTACTAGATTTTAATCGAAAGAACCAAATGAACATATTATTACTATTACGACGACGATTATTATATTATTATTATTATTACTATTATTGTAATTATTATTATTGTTATTATTGTAATTATTATTATTATTATGATTATTATTATTATTGTTATAATTATTTTTATTTATATATTTTTATTTTTATTATATTATTATTTTAATTATGATTGAAAAAAAAACATTATAATTATTAATATATTTATTATTATTAATATTATTATGTTTATTTTTATATTTATTATTACGATAATTAATATAAATATTATTATTATAATTATTATTGTAGTTATTATTATAGAAATATTTATAGTTATAATAATAATAATTATTATTAATATTGTTATTTTTATTACTATTATTATTATTACGATTATTATTATTATTCCGATTATTATTACGATTATT